TAAAATATATGTTTTCAGCATAGCTGTAAGAAAAGACCTGATGCAAAATTTTAAGAAAAATAATAATAAAGTGCTTAACTCTTAAATCATTCTTGATTTTAGACGAATTCTATTCTCTACTAAATAAATAAAATATTCGATTCACATTTAATATAGAAAGCATAGTAAATACCTTTGAATCTCTGCTCAAGGCAAAAGTAATCACAAAAATACATTTCGATTATTTAAATTTCTTACAGGATAATCAATGATAGAACTTCAACTATTTTTAACAGACATTTAAATTACTGCTGCAGGCCTAATGAATCCGTAAGAATTTGCCAAGTTATTTAAAATTTTCATATTCAACTGCCTCAATAAGAAAGCGATTTAAAATGTTTGAACTAAACACTTTAAGCACACATACACACACATGAGCACATGTATATGGACACACACATGCATGCACATGTGAACATCTGGCGTTTGATGCCGGAATCAACAATTTTAATAATTTCGTTTTATGAGAATTGCGCTCGGGTTAAATGATTCGAGAAGAATGCAGGGAAGCAAAACTCGTAGCATTTTATGACTGTTTTTTTTTTTTTTTTTCGCTGTTGAGCGCAACTAACGGAGCTCAGCCTCCAACCACCCCCTTGTTGTCATGTGTGAAAGTGTGCGTGTGTCTCATATATCTGTTTGGCTCTGAGCAGCGGCTGCTCTTCAAATGTTTTCGGGACTCATTCCGCTGACTTTTCAATCAGGTTGAAAGCTGCGTATGCTTTTTGATTCCTAATCAGGAAAATCTCTTGTAAATGCGTCCACTAATTGCAAAACTGTTGGGGATAATCATAGAGCGAATAAGGTCTGTCAGCTCCTCTTCCCCCTATCTAAGGCCCTTCAGCTACACTCGCAAACTAATCAAGAGGCGTGCTTTATCTTAGACATACGAACTTATAGAGATCGAGGTCGAGGGGTTTCTCTATGCGAAAACATTTCTCTGGCTAAGAAGCAATTATCGCAGATAGGAAAAGAGTTTTTCCACTTGTTTTGCGGCAAGTTTTTTGGAATAACTTTTGCTTCTGCCCCAGCCGCTGCCCCTGCCCTTGCCCCTGGACCAGCCCCTGCTCTGCCCTGCCCTGGCAAAGGTTCTGTTTGTGAAGCACGTTTATCAGTGGCCAAGTTTTTACTACTGGCTGTGGCTCTCGTCTGTTCATTGTTAACTTTTCTGCCTTACTAATGGCTATCAGAGATAAGTTCGACTACAAGCCAAAGTTTTATTTTGTAAGCAACGTTGTTAATCTGTCGAGCATGTGTAGAAATGGGCGTGGCAGGGGCAGGGGCAGCGGCACCGAAGTGAGGGCGACGAGTGCTTTTAAAAAGTTATCAACAAGCGTTCAGTCAGAGATACGAGTCTTCTGTTAAGACATATACTCCCTACACATGTTACGGACACACACACTAACACACACACACACACACACACACACACACACACACACACACACACACACACACACACATTTACATAGTGCTAATCAAGTGCATTTGTATGTAGCTTGTCGGCTTGATTTGCAACTTGTAGCATGCCACCTGCGTGCTTTCTGACTTATTGTGCGAGTGTGTTTTCCTAATCAGCGAAATGTGTTAGATTAACGAATTTGCACACTTTCCCATTATGGATTAAAGACGAATTACCCTTAATACTACCCTTAATACTACCCTTAATACTGCCTACTAAGCCGACAATTAATTACAGCTACTATATGATTGCATTTCCTACTGGTAAGTCAACTACTACTATTTGCTAATACTACTAATATTTGCTGCAACCAATTATTCTACTACAATAGTGGTACTATTTCCTATACTGCTATCTATATCTACCGTTGGTACTATATATAATTAAACTCTTGCCATTTATAGTTACTACTATTTTCTATTATTAAGAATACTATTTACTAAGATTTCTACTATTCCTACTACTACTACTACTTTCTACTATTACTACTGTTCTTTACATACTACTTCTATTACTATTTCTATTTCTGCTCCTACTAATTTTAAGTATTTATTCTACGACTACTGTTAGCATTTTGACTTCTTCACTAACTACTGCTACAATTTATTTCTACTACAATAACAACTATTTATCATTCTCTATTATAATGCTTATATTATAGTACTGCTAATATCATTGTTTTTTTTTTTTTTTTTTTATATTACATACTATTATTACTACTTATGTCTGTTCTACTACTATTTCTAATTTATACCAGAAATAATTCTGTATATATATGCAAGAGTATAGTATTTTCAAATTTTATTATTACTTTTATTATTCATTATAACTACGCACAAGCTGTAGATATTTAAAGTATTATAAAACGATTTAAATCAATTTAATTTTTCAGTAAATTTTTACTTGATTCGCATTTACAACAGTTTTAAAATAAAATTTTAATCAGCTGCTGAAAATTGAAATTGTCTGATGGCGCCCGGAAGTATGCAGTTATACATACATACATATGTCTATAAAATATATATGTATGCAAATACTTACATGTGTGTGTGTGTGTGTGTGAGTATGTGTGGGCAGAAGTTGGCTTCCAGCTCGGCTGTTGGGCAGGTGAATAGACAGCTAGATTGTGTATGATGAGATTATTTGAATTACCTTTGCAATCAAATTGACACCACATAGACGTACCATAACGGACAACGGACTGACTGGGACAGACAGCCGGACAGCTGGACGGACGTCAGGAAACAGACGGCGCAAAGTAAATGCGACGTATGCAAGTGCAGAGAAGCAGTGAGGGAAAGAGAAATAGAGGGGGAACAGGGGACAGTAGAAGAAATTCTAGTTTGATGGACAGTCCAGACTTTATACATTATCTATATATATATGAAGGCTGATGCCTTGTGTCTGGCTAAATAATTCAAATGAAATTTTCACTAATGCCCCAATACACAAATTTCCTGATCTCTGGCTCAGAGTAGGCTGTTAATGAGCAGCAGTCGAGATGCGAAGCAGCAGCCGGAGAAGTATTCACAATTGTTATAGAATCTGAGTCAGAGAAAACACATTTCAAGTAAAATGTCGGAATTGAAATTTGATGAGAACTGCAGCGAATTTGATTTGGAGTCCACAGAGGAGTTATTTGACCGCATGAACTTGCAGGAGCAGGATGAGGAGAACTTGTCGTTCGAGGACGACGAGAACACGCTGAAGCAACATCAGCTGGACCAGGATCTGGAGCAGGTGCAGCGTCGCCAGAGCATTGTCTTCGAGAACGCTCAGAAGCAGGTGGCTGTGCTCGAGAATCTGCTGAAGACCGTCGAGCCGGACTGGCAGAAGGCCGTGGAGAACCGAATGACTGCCGGGGAGTGCCCGCCGCCGCAGGCCTATCGCTTCAAGGACATCTATGAGCGCAAGAAGCAGCAGCTGCGGCAGCGGCACCTCGAGGAGGAGCGTGCTAAGCGCCAGTTCCACAGCCGTCCGATGCCCAACTTTAGCCGGGTCCATCGTCATCTGGCCAACAGGCCGACGGTGCATCGCATCACCTGTGCGGTCACGCCCAATGTGCTGAAGACGTCGCGGCAAATGCTGCTCAAGCGTAAGCAAAAGATCGAGCAGATGCAGCGCGAGCAGGAGGAGCTGCAGAAAGTCAATATGTATACCAAGCCGAAGCCGGTGCCCAAGTTTAAGCCGGCTCCATTGAAGCCGGCCAATGCTCCGTTGCAGCTGGAAGTCAAGCCGTTTCGTCTGTCCACAGAACTGCGCGCCGAGCAGCGCAAAATCTTCAATGCTCAGACACTTCAGGCGCAGGAGGCCAAGCGCCGTCAGCTGGAGGAGCAGCGCAAGCGGCGCGAAGAGGAAGAATTCCAGAAGCAGCGCCAACTGGCCACTTTTCGTGCTCGTCCCAATCCCTTCAAGTATCAGTTTGGCGGAAGTGCCACGCACTAGTGGATCTCATGTTTTGGTTATTTGATTAGTTGATTGCAAATCTGTAAATTGTTTTCTGTAAATTATTTTTCGTTTTTATTATAGTTTCGAGTTGCCTGTTTCTTAATGTTAATATATTAAATTTATTACAGTTCAGCCAACAGAATTAACCAAGGACTTTTCCTTCTTGAAATGTAGCTCATGTCGGATAATAATGATTTATTAAATGTATTAAATTTAAATATAAGTAGTATATGTTTATCAGTATCAGCTTATCAGCTCGATACTTCCAAAAAGACGATAAACTTAAGGGGTCTTATTATAAAGGTATTTTCAGCTGCTGTGTCAAACCATATATAATTGCAATATAATTTTCCTACTATATTTTGCTTATACTTCACTTCAAATGTGATTGTCATTTTTATTTATTTTTTTATAGAAATATATTTATTTAAAAATTTTATATTTATTTCAGATAAATGTTTCTGTAGACAGCACATAACAATATAGTTATTAAATTCTATATATTTAAAATAATTTTAAGTCATACCAAATTTTTGTTAAAGTTCTATATATACTTCAAATTTATTTCAGGTAAATATTATTGTTCACAAATCATAACAAATGCATTTTGAAATTCTATATGCTTATACATATGTATATACTTCAAACTTATCTCCATTTTATTTTATTTTATTTTGTTTTTTTTTTTTTTTTACAAGTCATAGCAAATATTTGTTAAACTTATAAATATACTTCAAATTTATTTCCGATAAATATTTTTCTTTACAAATCATAACAAATTCATTTTCAAATACTTTCCCACTAAAAGAATTTCGCTTAGAGATCGCCCCATTCTTCAATGCCAATGCCAACTGCCAAATAGGAGCAAATTTCACTCAAGGCATATTTTCGGACGCTTTGAAGTAAAAGGCCAGCCACCTTGTTTGACTTTGGCAGCCTTTGCCTTTGGCTTTGATAACTTATGCCAGACATAATTGAGCACTAATTAAATCCATTTTTATGTAGGGAGTGCGTGTGTGTGTGTGTGTTTTTGCTAAAGGACGCTCTTAAATTTCAATAATCATTTGCACACATGTGTGCACATTCAATTTGTTCATTTAAAATAGCTCAGGTCGAGGCTCCCTCCATCAATCAAACGGTTGCCATCAATTCCCATACCCCGCCCCCAAGCCGAAAGCCAAATGCCCGCCCACGTGTTTCAGTACAAACAATTTGTTGTAAGTGTATCAATTGATGCGCTTCGCATATATGTATGCATGCATGTGTATGTGTATGTGTGAGTGTTTGTGTGGCCCGCATGTCTGCGTGTGTGTGTGTCTGTGGACGTCACATAATCAAAAGCACAAATACTAAAACAAGCACTCAAACTGTCAAAGCAATGATTGATAGTGTTGACATTCGCTTTTTGGCTTCAGCTGGCAGCTCGTGAGTTTTTGTGCATTGAATTCTGTTAATGGGACGTTTGGCGATTCTATACAACGTGCCGCACCCAGCCGCCCTCTCATCACTGCTCTCTCCACCTGCGCTCTTACCTGGCTTTCAGTTGAATGATGAATTGCATTGCGTTTGCTCAGCCGATACGAAGGTTGAGTGAAATTTGTATTTATTGTAAATTGCGCTGAGTAAGTTTAAAGGTGAGCTTCCATTAAAACGGTATTAAATAACAGTGTTCTTTTTTTTAATTTATATTTTATCACAAGTGTTGAAACACGACATGTCACTATTTGTTTTTATCAAACGTTGTTTATTTTTTTATGATTTAGTCTGAATAAACGCAAATAATTATGGAAAAAGTTTTGATTTTTTTTGTTCAAATTTAGTTTGCAAATTAATCTGAGCGAAATCACATATTTGTGGTGTGAGCTGTTTTTTTATAACAATTATGTATGTATATATACATTATTATTATTTTTTTTTTTTATACTTTGACAAATGAAATAAATTAATAATTAGTATTCAGCACATATTCATATAAAAATATAATTAAACCACTTTTAATATTGAATACTTGCTGAAGAAGAATACAATTTTTTTATTGTTCATTTAAGCTAACACTATTTCAGTTTGTTTGTAATCGGCTTATATACATTTTGTGTTTACTTTTAAAATTTTTATTATTGTTATGATTTTTTTAAAAATATAAAATAATTTTTTTATGTTTTTTTTTAAATTGCATATAAAATATGATACAAACACGATAATGTTAAAACAACATTTTCGGCCTCCCCGCTATCGGTTAACTCCAGAGCTGTGCTAACGGTTAACAGTATAACAGTTTACTTTAACGCTATTGACAATAGGTGGCGGAGTGTTACATAAACAGACTATGTTAAGTTAACATTTCCAGAGTTTGAAAAGCCGAATTTGTTGAGAAAATAAAATATATATTTTATTTCAAAAAAAAAAAAAAATCATAGAAATAAAAAAAAATTACCAAATATTTAATATTTGTAAAAATTATTAAAATACATGGAAAACTCGTATTTGGGATATACAAAAAATAACAAGAGACACCTGCAATGCAGCTGAAGCAGGAAACAATGTGCCAAATTTGATAAGTTTGTGTAAAAGTGTATGTGTGTGTGTGTGAGTGCGTACAAAGCGTGTGTGTTTGAGTGCATGGGGAGTGGTATGAATTTACATTCAGTTTTTATGCGTGGGTGGCGGGTTAAATAAGACGCTTTTTGGTGCTAGCAAGGAGGGGAGGGGGTGGGCCAGAAACAGACAAGAGTTTTTGGGGAGGAGGCCATGAGAGCTTGCTGGCTGGCTGGTTGGGATTCGATTGCGTTGGCGACTCGCCGACAATCTGCAGAGTTTCGCTGGCTTTTTGTTTGCGGCTTGGCACAGTGGAATTTAATAACGCGCTGATGCATGCAAAATAGCGCATAAAAACATAAAAATGCACACGCAAAAAAGGGGCAAACAAATTACAGCACACACACATATACACACGGCCGTACAACCACAACAAAACAAATGTGTGTGAGTGAGAGACGGATGAGGGTGAGGCTTCTGCAATGTGAGCGCTTCAGTAGCTGCAGTAAAACAATTTTCGCAGTCAATTTTCCTTTATGAGCGGAAAATATTTCTCTGTGAAAATATGATGCGCATATTGGCAGCCATCAGTAGGGGCTCCAAGTATTCCCCCACTACTCTCCCCTTGGGGCATTTTATGAAATAAGAAAAAGAGGAGACTGCTGCGTGCTTCACTCTAATTGAAACGCCAAAGACTACATTAAATCAATCGCCAACAAAATGAAACAACAAATTTCAATCGGATAGTTAAAAAGAACAAAGTCCGCATAAAAAAAGTGCTAAAAAAGTTGCCGAATTGCGACATCAAAACCGGCAAAGGTAAAGGCAGACTCAGACGCAGACTCAGACACAGACTCTGACTTTGACTCAGACGCAAACGCATTTGGCTGCAGCAAGTCAAAGTCATTAAAAAGTAATGCCAAGTCGTCAGCCAGCCACGCCCCCCATGCTACAATTGCCTCTCAACTCCTTCGGTAGCAGGCGCGCCATTAATGATGGATGGTTCGTTCGAGTTCCGTATACCGAGTCGACTCGACTGTTGCGCCACCAAAACGAAAAAGAAGAAGAAGAAAAAATGATTTGATGAAAACATTTGAAATTTTTATCGGGTGCAAATTTATGCAGAACTGTTGATGTCATCGCTCAGACCCCTTCACCTTCCCACCCCGCCGCCCGCTCGCCGTCGCAAAAATGATGACGATGCGAGTGACGTTGAAATATGAAGCGACATTACCTACGACTACGCCGAGCAGTGGCAGCCGGAGTTGGGGGCAGCAATTTCTGGCGGGGCCTGCAATGATTGGCTTTTTTCCTGAAAGCCCGCCCCCTGCTTTGGGTTCGAGCCAGCCAAGCGCGTCTGTTAACTGTGCTTGGCCTCAGCCGATAAGAAGTTGGATTTTCCATTTTCTCATATACTTTTTCGTTTTTGTTTAGCGGAGTCTTAATTTTTATTACCATTAGAAGTGCACTTAAAATTTGTAATAAATGACTTGGCAATTGATTGGAAGCCAACGATTTTATATGCTCCATAAAGCTTCGACACAGTTGAGCGAACAGCTATATAAATACTTGCACATAACTATGTCATATAAATGCTAAAAATTGCCCAATAATAAGTATACAGGCATTAAATAATCATTCATCCATTGGCTTAAATGCCGCCAGGCCTCATAAAAGAAAACTTTATAGATTATTTGTATAAGTGAATAGACATCAAGTTTTCGTTTTTTATTGATATCTTCGATTAACATTTGAGTCTTTAGCGCTTTATAGTTTTAAAATACATAATATATTGATAGGCCAAATCAAAAGTTTATGAAGTGGAACAGATTTCATTCGATTAAATAAATCTATAATATATACTTAGAAAATAATTTGTTAATGAAATTACATATTACTGACAACATTTTTAGGTAAAAAAAAGAAGAAAATAAATAAATGCTTATATTTTGTATATATGTAACATGAGTTTCCGCGCTTGGCTTAATATCAAAATCATAATTTTTGAAAATGATAAATGGGAATTAGCGAATATTTGGAGCATATATTTTGAGTTCAGCATTAAAAAGTTTATTTAAATATTTAAAAAATAATAATATATGATTATTCTATTCGATTTAGTAATTTTAGGTCGATATGTATGCAAAAATTGCATTAAACACCATATATCTATGCAAGTATATTATTATATGTATATGATCGCACCGTTGATATGACTTTAGAGAAAAGCTATCACCGATTTTCCTTTTCAACGAAACACCTATATATAGTACTATATGTACTTCAAGTTTATTGGTCATTCATTTTAAAGACTTGGGTTTTTTTTATGACTGTGCGTGTATTTCATAAACTTGGAGCAAATTGCGTGAAAGTTTTACGGATTAAAGTGGACTGTTACAGTCGATGGTAAGTAGGACTGTACGCTTGCAGACCATGTAGACCGTGCGCCATGTACTGCCCTAGGTACATGATTCAACTATGTGTGGCTATTATAAAAGTTTACTTTTTTATATGCCTGATCCTGGTCCCCTAGTG